ATGATAATAGTAACGATAATAATGCGATAGCAATGATAGTGATAATAATAATGATGCTAAGGATCATTATTAGAATAATATTATTAGAATAATAATATAATAATAATATAATTCATTAATGATGCAGATGGCATCACAGCTCCTAAACCTCCCCAACAGCCGGGAAAATCCAGGTTTTTTTCAGCCCGGCTCTTCCGTCATTATAAATATAATTGGATTAAATGTAGATAAAATAGAAGAAAATAATACGATAGCTAATAATTATATTGCAACTTTTAGCATAAAACAGTTAAAATGTGATATACGTGATATAATAATTACGAATAGAATGGTATTTTTGTGAGAATAATTATAATAGTTGTAATAATAATGATAATAGTGACGGTGGTAATAATAATGATAATAATAATGATAATAATAATAATAATGATAATGATAATAATAATAATAATGTTCATTAATGATGCAGATGGCATCATTCAATGATGCGACAGCTCCTAAACCTCCGTGCACCCCCAATAGCCGGGAAAATCCAGGTTTTTCAGCCCATCAGCGTCATTTTTGGGGGTAAAAAAAGGGCGATGGGTCAAAGGGCGCTGCGGATCCCCGGGAAATCCGGGCTCCGGAGGGGGAAAAGATGCTCCGGCACCGGCCGGGGTTTTCCCCTCGCACCCCCGGGCATGAAAACAGCCCCGCGCGTCTCAACCGCGGCAAAACCACCAGCGCCCGCCGCAAGCCGGGCTCCCTGTGCTCTCACCGGGGCGTGTTAACTCTGAAACCTAATGATGACTACGTTAGTAGCGCTCGGGGGCTGCAGCTTTGCTCAGTCAGCCGTAAACCGTGGCGACAGGCGAGCGCGGCTCCACCACCTCCCACCCAGCGCGGTGGGGATGGATCCGGATCTGGAAGATGCTCGCTTCCTAAAAATCCCCTTTTTCTTGCAGAATTCCTCCCCAAATTCCTCAAAATTTGACCCTAAAAAGGGAGAGCCGGTGCTCGAGCGACGGGCACGGGACCGAACCCTTTGGCATCAGCCCCGGCTTTAGCCACCTCGCCGCTTCAAATCCTCTAATGCTTTAACCAGATCGAAAAAATTAAGCCGCTCCCGGCGCTCGTACGCATATCGGGGGGGGGGGGGGACGGGGACCTCGGGGCCTCCCGGCTCCTCTTTGGGCTGAAAAACCTTGATTTTTATCCAGCCGCCCCGAGCTAAGCACCTGCCCGGGTGTTTTCCCTCTGCTCCAGCCCATCTGCTGGGATTTTTTCCCTACGGAAGAAAAGACCTTTCCATTTACCTTTAAAAATACCTTTCATTTTTTTTCCCCCTATGGAAAAAAAAAAAAAATCTTTA